AGAGCGCTCGCCTTGAGCTGAAGAGCTGAGGGACAGCGCCCAGGCCCAGAGTTCAAGCCCCACGACTGACCAAAAAAAAAAAAATTGCCTCATCACCAGCCAGAATGTGGGGAAAGTTGTCCTGCTTCTTATCAGCCCCAGCCACGATCCTAAGCCAGCCCAGAATTTCCATTAGGTCCGGTGGATGTGACACTGGCTGCTATTACGACAGCCACCAAGCGGACCCTGAGACATGCCCATTGGGCAAATCTTCACCTGGCCACCTCTGTAATGATCCCGAAAGATCAGAGAGCAAAGACTGAGAAGGGATGGCTAACTGGATATGTCCAGAGAGGTGGAAAGAGGACAGGGATCACCTCTCCTGTGATCATCTGCCCCCTGCAAAAGTGACTGTGCCCTGAAGGTCAAGACTTAGTCACTGTCTCCAAGGTCATCTGAGGCCTGGATGTTACAGGCAATGAGATTTTAAATCTGGTCACTAGAGGGTGCTCTAGGACTAGAGCTGATTCCTGAGCAACTCATCAGGGTTGGGGGTTTAGAAGACAATTTGGAATTTGCATATTTATTCAACATGCAGCTACTGAATGATTGATTACTCTGTGTGCCCAACACTAAATGCTATAAAAAGTATGAAATCATTGAGACATGACTGATCTTTCATTAGAAAGATATGCAGTATGAGCAAAAAATTATGTACCCATTTTTAATATATATTTTATTATTATTATGAAAATAATATGCAGAGGAGTTACAGTTACATAAGTCAGGTCATGAGTACATTTCTTTTCGGACAATGTTACCTTCTTCCTCACTTTCTCCCAGATTTTCCCTCCTGTCCCCACTCACAAGTTGCATAGTTCATTTCCACGTAGTAGCTACTGCCTCATTTGTTCACCCTTTGTCCTTCCATGACTGAAACCCTCCTTCACCCTTCCAAACACAGATAAATGAACAAACAAGACAGAAAGAAGAGAGAACAAAAACAACAAAGAAGAAAACCTCTTGATTCCATTTCCGGGAGGTCATTTTGATAAATATTATTTTATAGATCAGAGGCATCTAGGCATTGCACCCGTGTATTCTACCCCTAAGAGTATCCTCCTTGGTCTCACTATGTGTAAATGCCTAGACTCCTGTATAATTTATCATGTCCTGGTGTATTTTAGATCTAGCTTCTGAATATGAGAGAAAACATGCACTGTTGGTCTTTCTGAGCTTGGCCTCACTTCAGATGATTTGTTCTAGATCCATCGCATTTTTCTGCAAATGACATAATATTATTCTTTCTAATGACTGTGCAAAATTCCATTGTGTATAGGTGCCACATTTTTTGGGATGCAAATCATCTATTGTAGGGTGTCTGGGCTGTTTCCATAACTTGGCTATTGTGAATAATGCAGCAATGAGCATGGATATACAAGCGTCTTCATAGTATCCTGTCTTGTGACGATCTGGGTAGATGCCCAGGAGTGACTGGTCATATTGTGTGCCCATTTTTATCTCCTGGTAATGCGTATACGTGCACTCATACTTGAACTCGGGGTGTGGAGTCTCATTTGGCACTTTCACTCAAGGCTGCCACTCTACCACTTGAGCCACAGCTCCACTTTTGTCTTTTGGCTGATTCATTAGAGATAAGGGTGTCACAAACTGTCTTGCCTGGGCTGGCTTTGAACCTCAATCCTCAGCTCTCAGCCTCTTGAGTAGCTAGGATTACAGACATGAGTCACCAGCACCTGGCAGGTAACATCCCTTAATTTAGCACTGATACATTTAATCTGTGCACACTGCCACTTCTCCATATATACATAGCCAAACCCTTTTACATAATTTTGCTCAAATATCACCTTGTAATTGAGCCAACCCTTACAGTATCATCTTGAAGCTCAGTATTCTCAGCCCTGCTCACCAGCTTCACTTAACCCATGGCAATTACAACCACATGCATGCATTTGTCACCTGCTCTGTGTCTCCCTAGGACATAAGGTCCATGAAGCAGGAGGCTCTGTATGCGCACCAATCGATGCCATACCTAGAATAGTGCACGCACACACAACAGGTATTCAACCCATGAATAAAAGAGGTGACCATTCAGGGTTCAGAATTGGCCGGTAAGTATTCCTAAGACTTGAGGGAGGGGTTTAAATGTGAGGGTCGCCTTGACACTTAATGGGAGGCAATATTTAAGCCAGGTAGTTTGCAGATCAAGACAGATGAAAGGGGTTGATGGCATGGCTCAGGGTAGAGTGACAGCCAGTGAGGGAGAGCATCAGATACCGAGTTTGCATCCCAGGTTTCAGACTAAAAAAAAAAAGACAGATGAAAGGGCCGGAGCAGACAAAAGGAAGGCAGGAGAAAGCACTGAGGCACTGAAGGGCATTTATGTTGCTACAGCAAGACGGCCCTCCCTCCTGTTCCTTCTGCCTTTGCAGCCCCGCCCCCTCCGGCAGCTGCCTCTTGCTCTGGCCGCTCAGCCCCTAGCCTGAGACACAAGGCAGCCAGATTCTGTCCATCTGTCACCATGGGCTGTTCCCTCATCCCAGGTTCCACTGTTTGCTTCCTGCTTTGGGGGTTCTCTGTATTTGCTGTCCTGTAGGGCCCCCTGGCAAAGGATGACCTTCGCCACTTCTGTCTAAGTTATATTTTCCCCTCGGCCCCACCAGGGAGAAAAAACTGCACAGCTCAAAAAACAATCCATCATTTTGTCATAACATTTCCATTTCAAAGACTTCCTTTCCAAGCTTCTCCCTGGCCAAACATTTCCTCTCATTAGCATAGGAGCTGGCAGGGAGTGGAGGGACAGGAATGAAAGGGGCCAAAAATGCCAGCGTAAGCCAGAAGCCTCAGCATTGTCCACTGGGGGGGGGGGGGGGACGTGTGAAGCATGAGCTCATGAAGACTCGAGTCTTTGGACATGCTACTAGGGCCGCTTGATCAGAGATGTACACACACACACACACACACACACACACACACACTGCAAGGCACAGCCCCTGTATTGTGCCAGGAACTCTTGGGTTGAGGAGTCATAGGAAATAGAGATACAGGAGCCTCATTCAGAGACCAATTTGCAAGCGAGTAATGACCGTGACTGAAGAAATATTGTAAAAAGCACTGGAGCCCTGCTGACTGATGCGCTATCACCTCTGAGGAGGTGGCATTTAAGCCCGTCTGACAGATGAGGAGCAATTGTCTAATAAGACAAGATGGAAGGGGCAGCAGGATGTTTAGAGACCAGCTTGCGGTGCTGATGTAGCTGCGGCTGTTGGCTACCTAGGTGTCCTCTGCTGCCCTGGCCAGCAGATAGCACTGAGGAGCCACTCATTAAGGCCACAATTCCAGAAGTGAATGCTCCAGATTTCACACCGTCTATGAAAGGAAACAGACTAGGGAATGCCAGGAGCATCCTGATGGGATTTGAGCAGATTTGAGGTCTGGAACACGAATTTCACAGAGGGAGAAATTCAGAGAACATTCCAGGAAGAACATTCACTGCAGCTTGGATCAGATCCAAGGCTACAGGGATGTCACGTGGCCCATGTTTCAGGAAGATACCCTGGCCTTACTGGGTCCTCACTATCAGCTGGTGACAGGGTCGCCAACAAGGCCAAGTGGAATGGAGGTTATTTGGTCCAAGCGCCACATTTATGACAGACATTTTCTTCATTATCTCCAATTGAGATGCGGGTGTTTAAAATGTAATTGTTAAGGTATAAATAATTAAAATATGTAATGATTTTTATAAACTTGTTTGACATTTTCTTTTTTTCCCCTTAATCTACAAGAAGACTAAAAATAATGAAAGTGGCCCAATTCTGTCTCACTTTTGGTGAACAGAGAGAATTGGTCCTAGTTAAGAAAGAGAAGCCAGGTGCTGGTGACTCATGCCTATTCTTGTAGCTACTCAGGACGATGAAAACTGAGGATCAAGGTTCAAAGCCAGCCTCTACCAAAAAAGTCTGTGAGATTCTTATCTCCAATAAACCATCAAAAGGCTGGAAGTGGAGCTGTGGCTCAAGGAGTAGAGCACCAGCCTTGAGCAAAAAGAAACACAGCACCGAGGACCTAAGTTCAACCCCTTGTACTGGAATAAAATAAATAAACAAAAGCGAATTAAGGAAAGGATGGAAGCAAATGCATGCAATCCCCAGCAGAGCACTGTCTAGGGAGTCCAAGCAGACTCTAAGCTCTAGGTTCTCCCCAGAAGCTCATCTGCCCACCCCATCTCCCAAGACAGCTAAGGGCCTTGTGTGAGGGAATATAACTGAGAACACCTCCCAAGCCCACGTGGGAATCCTTGCTCTGCTCCTGTCACATTTGCATTTGCTGCTCGGAAGAGTGCACAGGGCTCTCTGTGAGCATGGACGCTCTGTGTGCTTGACAGTCGCCATCTTCCCTGGGAACCTGGATGCTGTATCTCACCTTGACTGCCAGCCTCTAAGCGCAAGCTGACCGGAGTCTACTTTGGTGTGGGGCTGTCCTGTGAGCACTGATAGCTGGGTTTTGAGTCCTTATTCAAAGTGATATGAACCTTGGAACCCTCAGATCTCTCCCAAATGCTTTTTTCCATCCTGTCATCCATGAAGAGTAGCCCTGGACTCAGCGCCTTTCTCTGATGGACCAAGTGTTCTCTACGCAGCCCCACTACCACACCCTTTCCTGTCATCCACAAACACCTTTCCTCATTCTAGAAAGATCTAGGGTAGGAGGTACCCATACTTGGAATAGACAGTCCTCTCATGAAAGTCTCCACCCACCAACTGTGTCCTTAATCCTCCCAAGCCAGTGCCCACCCCCACCTCCAGCCCCATGGTAGGCACTGCCCCTCCCCTAACTAGTGCCCCCCTTCAGAACCATTGAGGACAAGGGAAAGCAGGCTTTGCAGAAATGTGGTATTTATTGAGAGCCAACTGCTGGAAAACCTAATCTAGGTACACGCACGTGCATGTTGCATCCATGCATGCATTTGAAGAAGACACGGTCCGGGCTTCAGGGTACACTCAGATAGCCTTAGCCAGTCCAACACGATTGTTGGCCCTGTCAAAGACACTGTAGTACTCCCGGAGAAAAACAGTCCCCAGGATCCACAGCTGGGAATGAGTGTTACTCTGGAAGCCACTGGAGCAGGAGCCCTGCTCCTGGGAAAGAGGACAAAATGAAGCCAGATGTGAAAGCAAATAGTTTCTATCCCTCCTCACAATTCCTTCTCTTCCCAAGGGCACAAACAGATATCGGCTGCATCACTCTCAACCGATAAAGAACTTAAGATTCAAAGGTTAAAGTGACTTAATAGGCGTTCATCCTGTGGGATCCAGCAGGTCTGAGTCCTGGATTCCATTTCCCCTCACCTGTCCTGACAGCTCTCAGCACATCATCCTGATAACCAGCCATAGCGAGCCATCTCACCAGTGCGGGGTGCTCAGGATTGAGCCAATAGTCCCCCAAAGCCCAAGCAAACTAAGGAAACCTGAATTGAGTCTTAGGTCTTGGAAGCTTGAGCTGTGGTCTGACTGACACCCTTCCCTCAATCCCTGGCACCCTATCCTTCCTGCTACTCATTTCTCCCAGGAGGAAGTTGGTGTGGCCATGAATGAGATCCCAGACAACATGGCCTCACTCCAAAGGCTGTGCATTTCCCTCATGGGATCCATCCTACTTCTTATCACTAACTTCACTCGCTGGCCAGGATGGGGTCCTAGGTGGAGCCACAGCCTCCTCTCTGGAGATCCTTACCTGAATGGTGTAGGCAAAGGGTGGCAATGGGTACTTTCTGCCCTGGATCTCAAAGACAACAGTGGGCATCATATTCAGACTCCAGCAATCAAGGACAAACTAAGAAAAAAATGAGAGGCACCGTGAATAAAAGAGTGCCCTGCTGAGCTCCGGTGGCTGGGGCCTGAAATCCTCAGTACTCAGGAGGCTGAGATTTGAGGATCACGATTCAAAGCCAGTCTAGGCAGAAAAGTCTGGGAGACTCTCATCCCCAATGAAGCACCAAAAAAAAGCCAGGAATGAGGCCCTGGCTCAAGTGGTATAGTGCTAGCCTTGAGCACCAAAGCTCAGAAACTGTTCAGGCCTTGAGTTCAAGTCCCAGGACCGGCACAAAAAGAGAAAGATACCATGCTCACAGCATAGAACGCCTTCTTCTGAATCCTGTGAGCCCCCAGACATGGAGGGGACCCTGCCATCCCACAGGACCACAGGGAAGCTCTCAGGACAATGGCCTCAAAATGGACTGGGGGACTGTCAGACCGGGAAACCGACCATAGGGAGGGATACAAAGATGCTTGCTTTCAAGTCTCCCCATCCAGGCCCAGTCAGAGCACACAAGGCCTCAAGGATCACATGGCTGACAGGATGGAAAAGGAAAGGACTGGAACATGAGATACAAGAAGGGCACAGTCTTCCAGAGGATCCAGAAGCCAGATGTCAGGGGCTCCAAGGACAATGGGGAACAATGGGACTCCCCCAGCAAGGATGGCCAAGCCAAGAGGTCACTGCAGAGTTCTCCCACAAAGCCCCAGGGTCTGTTGGAGGATCCCACACCAACCCCTTCATTCCCACTTTAGGGACCTTGGGAGGTGGGCGGAGGGCCTGGCCTCACCTGGCCGTACTGGCTCTGTGTTGCTCCAATGGCCTTCTGGATGCTGAGGATGTCTCTGCTGGGACCAGCCAGTAAGGAGGTCCCTGAGTCCAGGACAGCCTGGCAGCCGCCATCACAAGCTATCACCACACCATTGATGGTGACTCTGAGGAGGTGAACAGGAAGGCTTCAGGGTCCAGCCTGCATTCAGCCTCCCTCCCTTCATCCTTCCCTCTCCTGCCCAGATCTTCACGTAGAGAGCAAAGCCTCAAGCACCCTCAGCCCCTTCTTGGAGCCCCCCAAAACTTCCCCAGCTCAGGTCTGAAACAATTTTCTCCTGAGTCAGTAGCTGACTGATAGCCCACCTTCCATGGATAAAACAACAACAACAATACAATAAAACCACCCATATGCATGAGTGGATAAAAGGACTGACTGTACTAGTTGCCTGGAGATCAGCTTTCAAGTTTTCTTTCTGGAATTACTGCATATCTCGGCTTCTGATCTACCAAATGGGTACACAGATGTTCCCTGCCCTGATTTCCTCAAGAGATGATCTTAGTCAGGCACCTCAAACAGGCTCATGCCTGTCTTCCTAGCTACTCAGGAGGCTGAGATCTGAGGATTGAGGTTCAAAGCCAGCTCATGAAAGCCCTGTGCCTAACACCTGGGTCCCCATATCTCCACACAGAGGCCACGGGGGCCTCTGCTCACTTACCTGTCCACAGCCACCTGCCAGTATTGCTGCCTGGTCACAGGTATCCAGTGCAGAGAGCCTGTGTAGTAAGATGAATCCACAGCCCCCAGGGTAAGCACGCTCCCCTGCTCATACCTGGAGCCAAGCAAGAGCATGGGTCAGGATCCCCTCGTGGAATGCCCAGATGTACTGGGGACCCCCACACACACCTGCCTTCTTCCTCACCCGTCTCTACTGTCCTGGGAGCTGTCCTGCTGCCCACTCCCCCCACACTGGGCTTCCTGCTGATGTCAGCCACCTCTTGTTGCCCTGAGCACTGCCGGGGCAGTGAGAGGTAGTAACCCACCCTACAGGTCAAGGGACTGCCAGGTTCTGCCTCAGGTGTCCACAGCTAGCTCCTGTGCCTCCACCTCCCTTCTTGTCACCCACAGCTTTCTGCCCCCTGGAGGAAACAGTCTTCAACTAGTCTCTACTCGGGCGGGGGGGTGGGGCTGGGACATGGCTCAAGTTGTAGAGTACCTGCCTAATAAGAACAAGAGCCTGAGTTGGAACCCTCAAACTGTCAGGAATGAGAGGAGAGGAGAGGAGAGGAGGGGAGAGGAGAAGAGAGGGGAGGGGAGGGGAGAGAACAGGAGAGGAGAAGAGAGGGGAGGGGAGGGGAGAGGAGAGAACAGGAGAGGAGAAGAGAGGAGAGGGGAGGAGAAGGGAGGGGAGGGGAACGGAGGAGAGGAGAGGAGAAGAGAGGGGAAGGGAGGAGAGGAGGGGAGAAGAGGGGAGAGGAGAGGGGAAGGGAGGACAGGAGAGGAGAGGAGGGGAGAGGAGGGGAGAGGAGAGGGGAAGGGAGGAGAGGAGAGGGGAAGGGAGGAGAGGAGAGGAGAGGAGGGGAGGGGAGAGGAGAGGAGAGGGGAAGGGAAGAGAGGAGAGGAGGGGAGAGGAGAGGAGAGGGGAAGGGAGGAGAGGAGAGGAGAGGAGGGGAGGGGAGAGGAGAGGAGAGGGGAAGGGAAGAGAGGAGAGGAGAGGAGGGGAGGGGAGAGGAGAGGAGAAGGGAAGGGAGGAGAGGAGAGGAGAGGAGGGGAGGGGAGATGAGAGGAGAGGAGAGGAGAAGAGAGGAGAGGGGAAGGGAGGAGAAGAGAGGAGACCAGAGGGGAAGGGAGGAGAGGAGAGGAGAAGAGAGGGGAAGGGAGGAGAGGAGAGGAGAGGAGGGGAGGGGAGAGGAGGGGAGAGGAGAGGGGAAGGGAGGAGAGGAGAGGAGAGGAGGGGAGAGGAGAGGAGAGGGGAAGAGAGGAGAGGAGAGGGGAAGGGAGGAGAGGAGAGGAGAGGAGGGGAGAGGAGAGGGGAAGGGAGGAGAGGAGAGGCGAGGAGAGGAGGGGAGAGGAGAAGAGAGGGGAAGGGAGGAGAGGAGAGGGGAAGGGAGGAGAGGGGAAGGGAGGAGAGGGGAAGGGAGGAGAGGGGAAGGGAGGAGAGGAGAAGGGAGGAGAGGGGAAGGGAGGAGAGGAGAGGAGAGGAGAGGAGGGGAGGGGAGAGGAAAGGAGAGGGGAAGGGAAGAGAGGAGAGGAGAGGAGAGGAGGGGAGAGGAGAGGAGGGGAGAGGAGAGGAGAAGAGAGGAGAGGAGAAGAGAGGAGAGGGGAAGGGAGGAGAGGAGAGGGGAAGGGAGGAGAGGAGAGGAGAGGGGAAGGGAGGAGAGGAGAGGGGAAGAGAGGAGAGGAGAGGAGGGGAGGGGAGGGGAGGGGAAGGGAGGAGAGGAGAGGAGAGGAGAGGGGAAGGGAGGAGAGGAGAGGAGAGGAGAGGGGAAGGGAGGAGAGGAGAGGGGAGGAGAGGAGAGGAGGGGAGGGGAGGGGAGGGGAGGGGAGGGGAAGGGAGGAGAGGAGAAGGAAGGGGAGGGGAGGGGAGGGGAGGAGAGAGGAGAAGGGAGGAGAGGGGAGGGGAGGGGAGAAGAGAGGAGGAAGGAAGCCTGCCACCCAAGCTTTGTGTTCCTTCTGAGGCGCTGGCTCACGCGCTGGCTCATGCATTGGGGTGGGGAGGGCACTCACACACTGTCTTACCTTCTCCCCACACTGCGGCTCTCACCTCCTGGGACACAAGCCCCTTCCTTCTTTAGGGCTGTATATAAACTATCCCTCTGTCCTTCCTTGGACAACTGCCGCTCCTCTGCACTGAAGTCTGCCCTGCCTCTTTCCTTCCCACCTCGTCACCGGTTGTGACACTGCAGAGACACCCGGCTTTCCCCCACAGCACCCTCCTCACAGGTGCTCAATTGCCATATGCTGTAATTCAGCACTAGCAGATCCTACTAAAATACAACTCCAGGAGCCAAGTGCTGATAGCTCACTCTTATAATTCTGGCAACTCAAGAGGCTGAGATTTGAGAATCTTGGTTTAAAGCCAGCCTAGGCAGGAAAGCTGGTGAGACTCTTATCTCCAATTAACTAGCAAAAAGGCAGAAGTAGAGTTGTGGCTCCAGTAGTAGAGGGCCAGCCTTGAGTAAAAAAAAAAAAAAGAGAGCACCTTAGCCCTGAATAGAAGTGCCAGTACACACACACACACACACACACACACACACACACACACTCATTAACCAGGAAGGAAAGCCAATTTTAGCCCAGTGGATTCTGGTAGCATCAGGGACTCTGCTGAGAGCCTTTGACAGGTGATTGGACATGCCTGGAGACCAAAAGAGGTCCACTTGGATGTTGGTGACTTCCCTTGATGGCAGTGTCCCCAAGGGGTGGACACTGGCCTCAGCTGACCACCCAAGTCAGGCCTTGGCTGGTCACAGCCCTTACCTGCTCATGTAAATGGAGAACAGGTCTTGAGCCACCAAGTGTCTGTTCATCATGTTGTCAAACACAGGCACGGAGCCTGCGGAGGCCAGGGAGGGATAGCCCAGGCCCAGGATTCCATCAAACGGGAAGTAGGTGAAAACGTCTCCAGGTTCCTGGGTGCTCAGACCCACTGTCTGGTGCGGGTCCACGATGCTGGAAACCTGCAGGAAAGTCATAGTGATACCTGCAACCGGTTACAGAAAAGCCCCAGGGATGGGGGCTGCCAGTCCTGGGTTATAAATTAGTGCCGTACACTAGTACTCCTTCCCTCTGTAGGCAATACAGTGATTTCAGCTTAAGATGGGGAAAAAAGCCAGGTACTGTGGTGAATATTTATCATCCTAGCCACTTGGGAGGTGAACATCAGGTCAGCAAGACCTCATCCCAACCAATAAACCAGGAGTAGCGGTTCATGCCTGGAACACCAGCTACCAGAGAGGCACAGATACAAGGATCATAATCCAGGCCATCCCCAGGCAAAAACATGAAACCTTATCCCCCAAATCAGTTCCTGCCTAGCAAGGGGGAGGTGCTGACTTCAAATTCCAGCACTGCACCCCCCAAAAAAAGAAAAAAGAAAGACTAATAAAACTAATAAACAAAACAAAATCTTTTCTGTCACACAGTGTGCTGTGGTTTTTAGGAATTTGATCTGATAAGGCAAGAGACAGGGAAGAGAGGACCCAGCCATGGGTGCAGACACAGTTGCTCATACAGGGGGGATAAGCTCAAAGAAGAAGATATAATGAAAAATGCCCCAAGCTCTTCTGTAGACTTTGGCCCCTGAAACAGCTGCACCTCGGGTACTGACCACTCAGGGAAAAGCCTGGAGGCAGAACGAGGTACCAACAGAACAGGCATGCATCTTAGAGTGCGGGGGTGGGGGGAGTAAGGGGGGGCTTTCTGTCATGTATTGACTGCCATCAGTCAGTACAGTGGGGTACTCGAACAAGTGCCTCACCCCCTGGAACCCAAGCTCCTTATCTGATGCATGGGATATTAATACCTGCACCCCAAGGCAGTGCTAAAGCTAAGGACCAACAGTTGCTGAGCATTTACTACATGTTTGCTGAGTGAACATCTGTGGACACTATGCAAATGATACGTTAACTGCAAATTATCTTCTTCATCTGCCCCACTCCCTGGTGGGCGTTGAGTCCACTACCCTATTTTGAGTCACCAGAGTGGTTGGCCTGAACTACTAGGCCTCTTGGCTCTACATTTTCTCCTTCTAATGCACACCCCTACATGCACACACACACACACACACACACACACACACACACACACACACACACACACACACACACGACAGCCAAAGGCATCTTGGATTGGAAGCTTGCAATGTAACCTGGGTCCTGCCTGGTGTGCCCTTACACTCTGGTCCTGCCTCTCATGTGTCTTCTGATTCCTCTGACCCCTCAGATCACCATGTTCACCACGCAGAGCTTTTCCTTCTGTGATACCCCAGCTCTTCCCTGCCCCCAGCCCTGTGCACTTGCTCTGCCTGCACCGTCCCCAGATCTGCTTAGCCCTGGCTGCTGGATTTGCATCTCTTGGTTTCTAACATGCAACAGGCTACCATGCTCACCAAATCTCTTGTCCCCTGATTCACAGGCCCTTTCTTTCACACTTTTCCAGTTTACAATTCCTGAGCCACTCAGTGCTATTCGAAACCATCTGATTTAGGTGTCTTTCTCTTTAAGCACATGAGACAGGTTCCCTGTCCTCTCCTTGGTCACTTCTTCCCTGTCCCAGAACAACATTTGGTAAACAAATCAGGCCAGTCACTGAATATCTGAATCTGATCAAAAGCCTTCAAATGAAAAGTCAGGATCTAAGCTGGGCACCAGTGGCTCACACCTGTAATCCTGGCTAGTCAGGACACTGAGATCTTAGGATCTCAGTTTGAAGCCAACCTGGACAGACAAATCCAAGAGACTCTTACCTCTAACTGATCAGCAAAAAAGCCAGAAATAGAGGAAGTGTGGCCCGAGTGGTAAAGTGAAAAGGCCAAGTGAGTGCATAAGACTCTATGTTCAAACCCCAGTACCAGCACAAAATAATAATAATAGTAATAATAATAATTTTAGATCGGAATAAATACTAATGGAGAAATCAATTCTTTTGGTCAACAACAGCTATTGCAATTCTGCAAGGTGATAGGTGCTAGGTCCTTGTGATCCCAGCTGCTTGAGATTACGAGTAAAATCTCACGGTGGCTCAAAGAAAATGTCTACAAGGGTTGGGGGGACAGGGCTTTATCCAACAGGAGGGGCCAGTAACAGGTTTTATAAAGAAGTAAAAGATTGAGCATGTCATATAGCAGTAAGTCCTCTGAAGACAACTGAATCAGGACCTTCTGCTATGCTATAGGCCTTGTTGATACCATGACATTGGGCAAAGATGGGACAGTTAGGGGAGACCTAACAGGAAATGTACCATACGCCCCAAGAGGTAGAGCCTTGGTCAGGGCATACCAGAGCTGGAGTGAACTGAGGCTTGCTACAAGCTCAGAATTCTGGACAAGGCAAAAAGAGATGGACTCTCAGATCCAGGGAGATAACCGGATAGGGCTCTGAGGGTTGGGACAGGGAGGACCAGGGAGAAGAAGGGAACACCCTACCGATGAATTTCACCTGAGATCCTTCTCAGAGTCTTCACGCCCAGAGCCACCCCAGCAGACAAGACCCCTAAAGCCTCCTTAGCACTTCCCAGAGGTACAGCCCACTGAGCAGGGTGTCAGCATGGGATGGATTATTGGCTGCCGATAAGAGCAGGGTGAGCCCCAGCCCACCAGTCACCCCACTTACAGAGATAGTGTCGTAGCCCAGAAATCCCTGCACACTGCCTGTACCATAATGGACGACTAAGGGCTTGCTCAGGTTCTGGAAGGTGGAGGACTTGGACGGGTCAAAGCGGTGGTGATTTCCTGGAATACAAATCCAAGATTTGTGGGTTGTTCAGGGTTTTGGGGAGACCCATCGGTGCCCAACAAGGCTTGTCTGGACACAGTGTGAATACTGAAACGAAAATGCACATATAGAAAATAGACATCTTGTTCTCTCTCTAGCCTCGGTCTCACAGTTTATTCAAGAAAACATTTGTAGCTGGGCAGCAGTGACTCACGTCTGTAATCCTAGCTCCTTAAGAGGCTGAGATTTGAGGATTTTGGTTCAAAACCAGCTCTAGTAGAAAAGTTTGGGAGATTCTTACCTCCAATTACTACCAAAAAATGGTGGTAATTGGATCAAAAGTGGATCTGTGACTCAAGTGCCAAAGCAGCAGTGTTGGCCAAAAAAGCTAAGACAATGTCCTAAGTTTAAACCTCAGAGGCTGTACAAAGGAGAAGAATATATATATTCTTGAGGCTCTATCCACCACTCTGAACCTGTGTGGCTTGCAAACAAAGCAGAGGAACACTCATTGCTAAGGGGCCTCACCAAACCACGATTGCCTCATCTGTGACATGGAGACCAAAGGAGTTCCCACTTCCAAGGACTGCTGGGAAAACTAACAGCTATGATAAATATCCTCTTATTATTTATAGGCCCTCCCACTGCTCTCCTAGACCCACTGGTATGGGAAAAAAAAAAACATTTCAGAGATGGGGAGAGAAGGGATCATAGGGCAAAAACAAAGGAGAAGGTAACAAGGCTCAATAGAAATGTGCTCATTACCTTGCTCATGTAACTGTAACCCCTCTGTACACTATTTTTACAATAAAATCATATATTTAAAAAACACATTTCATAGACAGGAAAACAGAGGAGCAAGTAGGGTTAGCCATTTGCCTTGGCTCCCTGTAATCCTAACTACTCAGGATGATAAGATTTAACAATTGTGATTCCAAGCCAACTGGGGAAGGAAAGTCTGTGAGACTTTTATGTCCACTTACCTATCAAAAAGCTAAGGTTCAACTGGTAGAGCTCCAGCCTTGAGTAAAAAAGCCAAGTGAGCACACAAGGCCCTGAGTTCAATCCCCAGTATAGGCATCAAAAAAATTTTTTTTAATTGAAATTAAAGAAAAAGAAACCACAAATAAGGTTCCCTAGTTTCTAGCTGGTGTTTTATACATGACACCCGTGATTTTCAGCTCTTCCCAGTCTGTGGCCAGTTGAGAGGGCTGAGTACAGCTGGGAGGCTGGAGTGTCAATGCACCTCTCTGGACATGCCCATATTTGTCCAAGCGCGATACTCATTGGCTGGACCTGGGTATGAGGGATGGGCAGGACAGAGAGGTCACTCACGGCAAGCTTTGCTGGTGCAGTAGACAGAGGGCACCCAGAAGTCTGAAGAGCCCGTGTCAAACACCACAGTGAACTCCTGGGGAGGCGTCCCAACGTAGATGGTCCCGAAGTACTCACTCTGAGGACAGATAGCTCTGAGTTAGAGGCAGGAGACAGCAAGGGACAGTGTCTAGCATCAACTAGACACTATGTATTTCATTTTTTAGGCTCTGTTTCTGCTGAGGGACCCGAGAGATGAAGGGGCGGGAAATGAAAGGGGGTACACGGCCACATCAGGGAGAGTTCTTCACTTCCAGCCCCCCACTTCAGCTCCCACCCCCAGCCCACCCATGGTCCTGCTCCACCCTACAAGCCCTAAAAGCCTTGCTGGAATCAACCCAGAAGCAAACCTTGAGCCGATACACAATTCCTGTCTGAGAGGAAACCTGAGCCACACTGCCTGGGAGGGAAGGAGCTGGACCCCTGAGGTATAGCACCAGCTGGGGACAAGGTCCCCCAGTCTATACTCAAGCTATCCTGCCCTATCCAGCAGTCCTTGGATTTCCAAGCCGAGGCTGGGGGGTAAGGGAGGGAGGCGAAGATGACCTAGATTCAGAAATGAGGGCACAGAAAGGGAAAGGGATGCTTGTTTATTGCCAAGAGTGACAGATGACAGAGCGACTGGCACCAGAAAGGACACACATGCAAAAGTGTCCCTGCCTGGTCCTGAGCGGGAGGAAGAAGAAGATGGAATCTGTATCCTGGCAGCTGAGCAAAAGGGTACGAGCTGTCCCCTTGCCTGCTAAGGCCATGTGACTTGGCTTCCCATGGGCAGGGATGTCAAATATGAGATTGGAAGTGGAGAGCAGATTATGTTCCCAGAAGGATATTGTGTGGCAGGGTCACCTGACCCATGCAATAAAGACTTTAGAGCCCGAAAGGCCCGATGGTCATCTTTGCTATGTCTGTTGAGGGCAGGGAAATATCTCTACAGCCCACAGGGCCCAGCATTTCTGGGAGCCTTGGGTGCGTATTGAGGAGCAGAGCCAGGAGATGAGAGAAGTCATCCTGGAAAGTGAGACAAGCCACTCACGTCTATGTAGTTGATCAGTGGCTCACTGGCCACCTTCCCAAAGTTAGAGTACTTCCCGTGGAAGACATCCTGGTGTGTTGTGAGAAAGATGTCCAGCAACCCCTGCTCCTGCAGGACGTTTCTCAACGACTTCGCTTTGTGTAAAGGGATCCTAAAGAGGTGGAAAGAATTCATGAGGGACACTGAACACCCCTTAATCCACCCCAAACTGCACTTCCCGGCTCCACTTTCTGACCAACAGCCTATCCAATCCATGAAGAAGGTCATAGCAAAGCCCTTAGCCAACTGCCCAACATCTAACCACAAACAACCCAATAATGTCAGCTATTCCGTTGGGAGGAAAACCTGGGAAGATCTCCCTCAAAGAAACTCTTACAGGGGCTGGGAAGTTGGCTCAGTGGTAGAGCGCTTGCCTTGCATGCCTGAGGCCCTGGGTTCGATTCCTCAGCACCACATAAGCAGGAAAAAAAAAGCCAGAAGTAGCGCTGTGGCTCAAGTGGTAGAGCGCTAGCCTTGAGCTGAAGAGCTGAGGGACAACACCCAGGCCCAGAGTTCAGGCCCTATGACCGGACCAAAAAAAAAAAAGAAAGAAAGAAAGAAAAAAGAGAAACTCTTACACAGACAATTGTTTTGTCAAACAAATGCATATTTACCTCTTACAATGTGTCAGGCACTGGTTGAAGCATTTATATGAACTCACCTGGGTACCAGTGGCACATGCCTATAATCCTAGCTACTCAGGAGGCTGAGATCTGATGATCATGATTCAAAGTCAGCAAGTCTATGAGATTCTTATTTCCAATGAACCACCAAAAAGCCAGAAAAGTGGACCTGAGATCTGATGATCATGATTCAAAGTCAGCAAGTCTATGAGATTCTTATTTCCAATGAACCACCAAAAAGCCAGAAAAGTGGAGCTGTGACTCAAGTGGTGACACACCAGCCTTGAGTGTTCAAGCCCCAGTATTGGCACACACACACACACACACACACACACACACACACACATGCACACACACCTTTACAATTTCACACCAATGCTATGGAATGGACACTACTATTAACGTAATTTAACAACAGATGAAGAAATTGAGACACAGAGAGTCTGGGTAATGATGGAACTGAGGATCCAATGACTCCAAAAACAGTGCCTTCCTTCCTCTCCCCAGCCTCTCCCTCTGACTCACTGTCCTAAAGCCACATCAAGAGAGAAAGTTCCCAACATGCAAACCCAAGAGGGCCAAGATTACCCAGGAGATGCAGCAATTCCCTCCCAAGAGCCCCCAGAGGAAGAGAGGACTGGAAGACCTACTAGATCTGCCCAGAGATGCCACCCGGGATATAGCATTTACCTGGTGACCTCCTGGCCATGGGAGAGAGCAAGGGCTGTGAGGAACACCACAAGACACCGCATCCTGGACAGCAGGCGGCCACCGCTTCTGCCCATGTCCATCCTCTATGCTTTTATAGCAAAGTGGGACTTCCTCTGGCTGGACTTCAGAGACAGACCCCGACATCAGGCCACTCCACAAACATAGCACCCAGACTACCTGCGACCCACATTGATAAGGGCCACAAAGTCCTCCATTCTGAGAACTTCAAAGTTGAAGGATACACAGGCCTGATCTTCGAGCTGGGAAATGTCAATATGGGCCCCTCTGGGCCAATCTCCCCCCAGACTGGATTTCTGAGCTGGCACAGGTGGAGCCGCTACCAGGAACCTGTTTCATGTTCCGCCTTCTCTCTGTAAGGGGTCTGTTCCCCCTCAGGCCTCCATGCCTACCTCCCTTCTCTAAGCCTGACCTCACTGTTGGTCAGCAGACTGCCCAATTCAAGATCTCCTTCTTCAGGTCTCCTGGGCCAGTTTCCCTGGGCTGGGGGTGGAAGGGGAGGGTGGAATTAAAATGGCATCTAAGGCAAAGAGTCCTGTTCAATCTGTCACTCCACAAGTAGAGCTCAGAAAGGCAATGCTATCCAAGTTCTCACAGAGCAATGCCTAAGGGACACAGTCACTCAGAGGCCCACCTGTCTCTATGGACAGATGTCCTTGGTACCATGTTAAGCAGGGGATTGAGAAGGGGAGAGGAAATGCTACATCCCAGTGGTAATTGGCAGGACTAAGGAGGGTTGAACTGGGAAGGTAGGTATGTGGGAAGAACAGAAATAGTGTATGGTGGTCCAGTTAGGGAAGAAGGTAGGCCAGAGCCTGGTCCAAAAAGGCCAACTGTTGCCTCTGGCCTATAGCCTGAATGAGATTTAGAACTCAACCCTCCCTCCCCCACCCCCAAACACAAAAGAAACCAATGGGTCCCCATGAACTTGGTAGAAATGATCACATCCGCAGAGTGGAAGGAGGTTATAAACCTGAAAATGAGGACTAGGTCAGGATAAGGTGTGCAAAATCAGAGAGCAAGGGCTTCCAGATCACAAATACGCAGGTTCAGAAGGACGTGATGACTGCTGCCCCCAACTGGTAAGACCAACCACAGTGGATCTATGCCTACCAACCCTTACAAGGAACTGAGGCAGACTCTCAAGTCTCATGCATTTGATTTATGAGACCTCAAAAGAGCACCCCAGCAGGAGAAGCAGAGACAACTTGAGTGTTTAAGGTAAGTTAGGATGGCAGTTATACCTGACTTATACTGTGGCAGTGCACTTCTCCACCCATGCCCCTTACAGTCACTGACTACATTCCCAGGGGGCTAGGACCTCCCTGCTCCTCATGCCACAAACAAGTGCAAAGGCCACTCCCAAAGCCAGGAAAGCAGAGGGCAAAATGAACATTTGCTTGCTTCCTGTTTTCTTCCCTGGGGGTCAGGGCCTACCTGCCAGTCAACAGCCTACATCTGGGCCATGTCTCCTCATTGCATTGCATGTCCTCAATGAATGTTTGGTTAAGCAGATGAATGAAGGGATGACCTTGCTGGTGCCCTTGAGAAGTAGGGGGTAGTAGCAGTGTGTGACAAATGTCTGATGTTCCTCAGATGCAGAGACAGAGAGATGAAAGCTTTAACACTGTCCCAAGAGTCCTGGTCCAATGTTGCCATACACCACTGTAAACCCAGCCCACCACTAGCCCATTGCTCCCAAGCCATACTTTGGGACAGTTAGACCACCCACATCTGCAACCAACTAGGACTAGGATCTGTTGAGGGCACCACCTTCAGAAGGGTGAGAAGACTGCACACCTCTGCTGGGAGTCACCAGCAGCTTGCCTGAGCTGACCCAAGGGGAACTTCTCCTGGGCACCAGATGCAGCCATTTCTCTCATTGGAAGGTGACCTTCAACACCAAGACTCAGAGATCCCATAGTGTAGATTGCTGTGTTTGTTCCCACCCAGCATCCATCTAGTAGCATTCCAGTGTGCAGACCTCTGCTCCAAAAAACTCACTTCTAAGAAAGGTTATCACAGGACCAGCCCCAGAATTGCAAAAAAAAAAAGCTTTTAGAAAAAGCATGATAAGATTTCATCACTGCTTATCTGGTACCAGGTGAGGACAACTCCCTTTGGTCTAGATTTCTTGGGCTCGGGGACTGACTCACAAAAGCAGCTAAAACAATTCAAGGCCCAAGGACGTTTCCCACCTTGGTGCAAGCTCGTGATCTCCGCTCACATATGAGCTGCAACAAAGCGAGCTCAAGTAGCATTCCTAACCATCTTCAGGGTACTGACCCTGGACACATGCACATAGCTGCCATCATCTTTCTCCTTGGGGAGAACCATGGTCAGGTCAGGGGACAGGTCAGGTCTAATAGAAGGAAATCTAAAGAAAGCGCAGTTCTCCTGCCGTAAGGGGGCCAAGTGGCTTCTGAAGGAAGAAGCATGGAAGTGTGAAGCTTCTGACAAGCACCTGTGTGGCCATGCTGAGTTTGAATCCTGGATCAGCTAATATTGAGTGAGATTCCTTACTTCTCCCTCCCTCAGTGTAGACCAGGACATTGGGAGGGCCACAAAAGAACCAAAACCAAGAGTAGCAAGTGCTGACCATGTGTCAGGCCTCCATTTATGACTCATGTCATAAACGACTTCAGTGCGTGACCCTGAATGAGTCCCACTATTCCCTGACGTCATTCCTCATGAAACACATGGGACTTACATGCTCATGGCTCTTGTCTGAATTTCAGGTGCCAAGAAGAAGTTCCTGTCTTGGTCTACATGTCCACAGTGTGTTCTCATTCTTCTAAGTAGGGGATTCCTGGTATTCATTTTTTCTGCAATGCCTCCAAAAATGTGCTTCACTCTAGCACGCCAAGTGTACAGCTGGGCTCCTTGGTTGTGAATGTGTGTGTGTGAGAGAGAGAAAGAGAAAGACAGAGACAGAGAGACAGAGAGAGACACAGGGAGAGTCAGAGAGAGAGAGAGAAAGAGAAAGACAGAGACAGAGAGAGAGATCATGCCAGTACTGGGGCTTGAACTCAGGGCCTTACATACAGTTCAATCTAGGCAATCTGACCCCCTGTAGCAAGGGTAGTCTCTCTTTCCCAACAACAGCCCTGGGTATGAGCCTCTTTGTAGTTCTGGTAAAGTCTAGACTAGAGGAAAGTCTCTGAGTTCCTCAGGTGTGAAAGAACTAAGTCTGGGCCAGACCAGAACAGGAGCAGGAGTTGCGAAGCAGAAAGCAGAGCAGGCAGTGGTACAGAATGCCCACAACCACCAGCCCGCAGACACTGGCTGGGGCAATGTGCTCCAAAGAACCGATTTCAGGCTCCACCTTTTTTCCTGTCAAATCTTTTTCCTTTTTCCTTTTGGTACTTGGGGCTTGAACTCAGGGCCTGAACACTGAGCTTTTATGTTCAAGACTAATACTCTACTGCTTGAGCTACAGCTCACTTCCTGCTTTTTGGTGGCTAGTTGGAGATAAGAGTCACACAGACTTTCCTGGATCAAACCTTTATCTTCAGATCTCAGCCTCCTGAGAAGCTAGGCTTACAGGCCTGAGCCTCAGGGAACTGGTTCTTCTGTTAAATCTGCCCAAAGCTGTATCTACAGATTTTCAATAATCTTACAGAATGAAAGACCTGCACACTAGCTACATTAATTAAGGAAGGCTATTTTTCCTCTGAGATGAATGTGTGTTAAAAATATCAAATATTAATCACTGGCAACATTAATTTATAATAATGTGCTTGTCTCCCTCTCAACTTCCAAGTCGACATTGGCTGTCACTGCTTCGAAACTAACACTCACTCCATGGCAGGGATTATAAATAAATAACCCAGTTAAAAATCTTCACCTTGATAGCTCTCTAGGGTGGTTTATGGAGTTGAGAGGACTTCAGTGTATTCTAACTAAAGGCCTGGGGGATCTATTTTGGGGTAGAGTTTAAAGCTTCTTTAAAAAATATTCGGGCTGGGAAGATGGCTCAGTGGTAGAGCACTTGCCTTGCATGCCTGAGGCACTGGGTTCGATTCCTCAGCACCACATAAGCAAAATGAAAAAAAGCCAGAAGTGGCACTGTGGTTCAAGTGGTAGAGCGTGCTAGCCTTGAGCTGAAGAGCTGAGGGACAGCGCCCAGGCCCAGAGTTCAGGCCCAACGACCGGACCTCCCCCCCCCCCAAAAATAATATTTATTATCTTTAAGTAGTTGTATGAGGTTTCAATTCAATATGTCAACTTATGAGTGCAATGCCTCTTAGTCCATGTCCCCTCTTCCATTGATCTGCCCAATCTCTCCCATTGCTCTGAGTCATCTGGTTCTATTTTCCTACGTGGACATGGAACAGAAGTACTATATATTTACCCACCCTTCCTCTCTTCATTCATCTGCTCCCCACTCAACATTCCCCTACTCCTGAAAAGTTCCAACTTCTTGGTATTTATTTTGTTCAACTGTAAGTTGATTGTTCAAAGAAGTTTTATCATTGCAGTCTTCCCTGGATATATCATACTTTAGTTAATACGTTTAGTAAAGTTTATGTATATATGCATATGACTGTGTATGTTCTCATATGTGTTTATAATTTAGATTTAACCTCCACGTGTGGGAGGAAACTTGCATCCTCTGTCTCTCTGAGCCTGACTTACTTCCCTAAGATAATTTTTTTTCAAGTCTATCCAATTGTCTGTAAATAATATGATGTTATTCTTCCTGATGGTTGGGTCAAGAAAATGTGATATATATCATATACATTATATATCATATATATGATTATATAAAAATACATCATAGACTATATATCATATATGGATTATATTTCGTATATTATATAAACTATACACAATATATACATACATATATTATATATGACATATAATGTTATATGTGTTATCTTATCATATTTTCTTTAAAAATGTTTTTGTTGGTCATGGGGCTTGAACTCATGGCCTGATCACTGTCCCTGAGCTTTTGTACTCAAGGCTAGCACTCTACTATTTTGAACCACAGCACCACTTCCTGTGTTCTGGCAGT